TTGTATCCTTTCTGGTTATAATAAATGTCTAACCGTACGTATAGGTACAGTATCTGAATTTTGTGAGCTGTTATAGAGAATTAAGGAACCTACAGGGGCAATGAGCCAACATGGGCTGGCAGGACAAAGTGGATTTATGTAGACCCAGCTCTGGGTGGCTGGGTGATAGGGAAAGGCTGCATGAACAGTTGATGAAAGACAGTATCCTTCTAGCTTGTGACCTAGTCCATGGGACTAGAGGGTCAGAGAGAGGAAGGATTTGCCACATAAGTGGCTAGCGATGAGGTATGGAGATGTGGGAAGGTGAAGTCTGGATATATTTCCAGCTGCAACTGGCTTCATGCTGATCCTTGCCACACAGGTAGTGATAAAGGTGGGGTTTGCCCACCTTGTCCCTTTTATGTAGTGCCACCTGTAGCAGTGTCATCCTCGCAGGCTCAGATACCCAACTCTTCCTTGTCTTCCCTTGATGTCTGTCTGTCTGTCTCTCTTTCCCTTGAATAAGGATAAGAAGTGACATGGAGTAGAGGACTTAACCTTAAGAGAATTTTATTTTGAAGCTCAAAAGAACTAGTTGGCAATAAAATGGCCAGGAAACTTTGGTCGTGGAAAGAAATAGGCAGTGATGAGAATTCTGAGGACTGGTATATCATGTCTTTGTAATTCCCTAAATCTCACTGCAATCCAAGTCACTGTTTCCCGGAGGACAGATGTGTTTGTTTGTTTTATACCGGTGGTGATATGATGGCCTAAATCATTAAAAAAATTCCATCACTGAATTGTTCATTTTCAGAAATCTTTATCTACTTTTGGCTTTGCAAAGAACCCATAAAAAAGAACGATTGGTTCTGAAGTACAATATAAACCAAATCTGATTGATTCAAAGATGTTGAAATTCAAAATTTGACTGTGCTCTGAGATATTTTTGCTTCATCTAGTCCAATGCTAATTCTTCCCTTCCCTAAACCTGCTAATTCCCCATCTGTTTTCCACCTGCCATCTATCTCTGAGGTCATTCCAATTGCTATGGCTGCCACTGAGGCTGCTACGGTGTCTGTGCAGTGTGACAATGCTTATCTCATGCATTAACGTCTACATGAAAAGACAAAAGCCAAAGCTGAAGCAGAGTCAAACTTTTTATTATCAGGTCCATTTACATTTTGTCATTAGACCTTTCTCACAAAGCTAATTTTTCTGTGCTATTGTAAATTTCCAAACTCTGGACTCTTACATTCTGCTGTTTAATAGTCCTTGAGGGAAACATTCCCACGGTTTGCTGAAGAGCCAGCTCTTTGGAGCAAGTAGAGGTTCCCCTTTACACCCTGATAAAGGATGGGATGTCCATGATTATAGCTGCTTGTAGTAAGCAGAGAGGGCCTGAGAGCAGGAGATAAGGCTGTGGCCAGACACCACATCCTGACGAGAGCAAGGGGCTCAGCTCAGCAAGCCTTACACAAACCATAGCTTTGAACAACATGTCTGTGCCTCACTCCTTCTAAAGGTAACCACTGGTTTGGATGTGCATTGAACAGGACAACGCTTACGACTGCCCCTCAGAAACTTCTGGGAAATATTCATTTTTGGGTATGATGCAATATCCTTAGCTCCTAGTTAAAACACAAAGGTTCAGGTATGACTGAGCTGTGTGTGCTGCGTCCTTTAGGTTCTAGCTTTGATGAAAAATTGATGAGGGATCCTAATCCTAACTCCAATAATCCATGTGAGTCAGGAAAGCTCTTGTGTACTCCTGATGTAGTCAGCCCACTGTGGAATGTCAAAATGAAATATTGTGTGCCTGTCCTTTGAGTATCACTCAAAGTATCACTGCACCACTCCAAAAGAATTCTGAGGCCAGAATAAAAAACTCACATGATACTCATACAAATATCTCAAAAGAAAGAAACAGTACAGAGCAGGACAACATACTAGAAAACTACTCCAGTGCTTCAAGGAGGTAGATCACAATGGTCAGAGTAAAATACTGAGAAGATATAGTATTTGGCAGATGATTTAGGAAGTAATTTGAACTGTTAGGTGAGACCATTTGGACTTGGATAACAGAAGTGGAACTCTGAAGAGGATATGGATGGGAAAGATGAATGAGAACCAAAGAACTATTGATCTGAATGAGAAAAGTCTGAAGGGGCCACTTTTACAGAGAGCTTACAACATACTTTATTACTGAAATTTTAGCCTGATAAGTAATGTTTTTGTTAATCTAGAATTCTCCCGGCATTTACTCTTTTTCACCAATTGCAGCAATCTCTGATAGTCTCTTAGAAAAATATAAATAAAATTTTCCTTATACTTCAATCAGGGAACTCAAAATAATTTAAATCCCAAAATTTAAACTGATGGCTGGGATAAAAATTAGCTCAACCAGTCCAAAGTTTTCAAAGATAGAAAGAAATTGGCCTTAATTTCTTCCACAGTCAATTCTGCTACCTCAGCCTAGAATGGAAACACTGTCTGAATGAAGAAAAAAGTATTCGAAACTAAACCCTAGTTTACTTATTGTAAGTACTATAATATACTCTTATTGGCCCTCAAGGAAAACCAGTAATTGCTGCTTTCTAAGGCAGAAGATGAGGTTGAAGAGAGAGAGAAAAAAAGGACATGCTTTAAAAATTAAACTCTTAGCTCTGTTATTTACTTAGTTCTGTCACCGTGGGCATGCTATTTAACCCTTTAAGCCTCAATTTCCTCACATCAGAAGGGATTATTTCCACCCATCTCTAAGGTTCTTATATGTAAAATTCCCTGCTCAATACCTGGCACAGAAAGTGCTCTCTTTATCTTTTCTTCAGTTTCTTTCGAAAAGCCTTTCAGAACCACTTTGATTCACTGTTTTCTCGCTTTTCTAATATACAGAGCATTTAAATTCTGTACTACACATCCCATATTAATCTGAATGCTTGGCTTGCTTGTGGAATCTCTTGAATTTCCAAAGACTCTAAATTAGCTTGTGGCTAACATACTTCTGTGACCTCCACATGTCACTAGCAACATAGTAGGAATTCAATAAATATTTGTTGAATGAATCACACTGAGTTAATAAAAATTCTAAGACCCAAAAGAGGATAAGAAATGGCAACGCTTACACCTACACAGGAATTCTTGCTCAATAACTATCCATGGTCTGACCATCTTTTTGAAGCAGTAATTCTGACTTTTCCTTGGCTACACGGTTGATTGACATCTGTGGCAGCCAGCTTCCAAGATGGCTCTTAGTGATATTTACTCCTCCCACAAGGAATCAAGGTGGCTCTATATGACCAATAGAATACCGCAGAAGTGACAACATTGATTTCAGAAGCCAGATCAAAAGAGGCACTGTAGCTATCGCCTTGGTCTCTTGAATTGCTTGCTTTGGGAAGAGCCAGTGCCTATGCTGTGGAGAGGGACTGAGATCTATGGCCTATAACAAAGCCAAACCCACTGCTGCTGTGTCGATTCCAACTCATAGCAACCCTGTAGGACAGAGCAGAACTGCCCCATAGGGTTTCCAAGGCTGGAAATCTTTACGGAAACAGACTGCCAAATCTTTATCCTGTTGAGTGGCTGGTGGGTTCAAACTGCTGACCTTTCGGTTAGCAGCAGCTGAGCGCTTTAACCACTGTGCAATCAGGGCTTCTCTGTATAGGATCAATTTGCCAGCCATTTGAGTGAACCACTTAGGATGGCTGCAGCCCCACCTGACTGCAACCTCATGAGAGACCCTGAGCCAGAACTGCCCAGCTGAGTTACTTCTAAATTTCTGACAGAAACTGAGAGACAATAAATGATCATTACTGTTTTAGACCACTAAATTTAGGAGTGATTTCTTAATGCAGCAATAGATAACTAGTACACCGTCTAAGAAGGATATATAAGGCATAAGATCTGGTAGGATTAAATGAATTCATAAAAATTAAATTACACTGACCAAACTTAAGTAATTCAGATTTTTCAAAATATATAATTTTTTAACAGAAAGTCTGCTGATTCTCTAATCGCTAGAGTTCTTGGAGTAATGCTTGACTTTCCTCTTTTTTTTTTTTATAGTTAATAAACAATCCCTTAGGAAATTCTGTGGCTCTACCTTCAAAATTATAGCCAGAATTCAATCACCTCCCATGACCTCCACTGTTTACCACCCTAATCCAAGCCATTATCATCTCTCATCTAGATTATTACAATAGCCCCTTGACTTTGTTTTCTGGCTTCTACCCTTGTTCCTGGAGCCCTGGTGGCATAGTGGTTAAGAGCTCAGGCTGCAAACAAAAAGGTTGGCAGTTTGAATCTACCAGCTGCTCCCTGGAAACCCTATGAGACAGTTCTACATAGGGTCACTATGAGTTGGAATTGACTTGATGGCGACAGGTTTAGTTTTTATGGGTTTAGGGTTTACCCTTGCTCCTCACAGTATCTTCTCAGACAGTATTAGCCAGAGTGATCCTGTCACCACTGCACAAAAGCCTTCTATTTCACTAAGTGTAAAAGCTGAAGTTCTTATTGCCTACACAATCTGTTCAGTCTCCCACCCCATTACCTCCTTGACCTCATCTCCTAGCCCTCTCTACCCACCCTGCATTGGTCTCCTCACTGTACCTCAAACAAACCAGGTATGCCACCACCTCAGGACCTCTGTACAGGCTGTTCCCTCTGCTTGGAAGGCTCTTGTCCTAGATATCTCCCTGGCTTAAGTCACCCGTTGAGTAAACTGTAGACCAAGGATTTAAACTAGGTCTGGCTTGTTTCAAAACACACTATCACGACCTGTGACAGAAGGTAGCAAAAACCAGATGGACCGTGGTTCTCACTCCAGCTCTGTCCTTGGCAACTTACGTGACTTTTTTGAGCTTCGATTTTCCTCATCTTAAAAATGAAATAACATTATTTCATTAAAATAAAATAACATTTATTTCACAGGTAGTTGTGAAGATTAAATAAGACATGCAGGTAAAGCACATAGCAGGATATCTGGAAAATAGTAAGCACTCATTAAATATGATGATGGTGGTAGTAGAAGCTACAGTAGCAGCAATCAGTTAGATGGGAGATGTGAAGGAAAGGAATCATGGATGATTCCTAGGTTTCTGACTTGAGTAACTGAAGGAATGAAACAGAAAAAAGTTGTAGAGAGCAAGAGCATTAGTTAAAACTCTAGTAGCTCCTTGTTAATTATTTTTTTGGACCAAAGGTGCTTAAGCCCCAAGCAAGTAATATTAAAACTACCAGTACCTTTCAATCACATAAATAGCATTCCACTTTCATTCTCTCTCTCTAAAGTACTTCAAACTGTTTTTTGTTCTAAGTAATTCCTTCCTGGAACAAGAGAAACTGTTGAAGTAAAAATGTCACAAAGTGTAGATCCTGGATGAGTCACTGTTAATTAAATGATGGCAAATACTGCAAAGATGAATAGCAGCAGAACAAAATCCAGATACTTAAGGAAGTTCTCACTCTTGTTTTAGAGAGAAATATTGGCAAACATTAGGAAGAATTTATGCAACCAACACGAAATAAGGTAAGTATTGGGGATTATGAGAAATGGCAAAGTGTTTCTATTAATTTCAAATGAAGATTGCCTGATAATTAAAGTGTTCAGGCTTAATGAAAAGAGATTTCAGTTCTCTCTTTCAGAGTCCCCCTGGCTTAATTACATAAGGAAGGATAGTGTTTGACTCAGGTCTGGCCCCAGCTGTACACACTTAGCTTTCATTTTAATAGTATTTCAAAGTCTAATTAAAAATCTTATACATAAAATTGACTTCACAGGTCTTTATGTCATAATTCATTTTATCAAGGTGTATTTTGTCTTCAGATTCTGGAACTTTCCAGGATTCCTCAAATCCTATTTTGAGATGCTTCACACTATGTACTACTTTGAATTGGAATGAAGTCAGCACAGTGTAATTAGAGTAGTGGGTTAGTTCAAGCGGGGACCCAAATCCCTGGATACAGTTCCTGCTTACAGTTTGCTTCTCTGGGCCTCAGCTTCTTCAACCTTAAAACAAAGGGTTTCCACCTATAGCTGACCATGAAGTTCTCTTCAAACTCTATATTTGATTTTAGTAAGCCGCTCTAGGTAAAAAAAACTGACTTTTGTTCCCCTCTAATTCTGCATAAAGATGAATTACAAATAAGCCACCCACAAACTATTTCACAAACAAGTTTGTACACCACTATTTTGTTGGGCTACTAAAGAGTGGTTTCCTCTACCATTGTGCTATATAAAACTAACTAGCCAACGGGGATTAAACCTTTGAACTTAACTTCAGCAAATCATGCTAATAAAGTTCATTACGTGCAATCAGCTCATGAAAGGCAGTATATATATATTGTCCACCCACTTCCTCTCACTACAGAAACAGAGAAATGAGGTTTTTTTTTTCTTTTTGAGGAGGTAGTTGCTACATTTACCATAACTACTGAATTTCTTCAATACTTTAATTTCCTTTTTTCCCACTGTAGTTGGTGTCATGCAAGAATCTATTTACACTGATTAAAACAGAAGGATACTGGAAGAGTTATGCTCGAAGAATTTTAAGTCTGAAATTTAGCATCACTACCCTGAACAATATAGTGTTAGTTGGCATAAACTACTGGTACAGGTAAGGCTGATCATTTATTCATTTTTAGATTAAAAGTTAACTATAGAAATTCTAACAGGACTAAATTGTGAAAACCAATCATTAAGAAAGGTAGTCAGCCTTGTAATTATGTAGATAATCATCAGTAACTGATGTTAGAGTTGTAAAACTGCTAGGGAATTTTTAGAACTTTTAGAAATTTTCTGGAAACAATTCTGTATAAATAACGTGATTTTTATTTGATTTCTTAAGCTTTACAGCATTTTCTAAAATTTAGAAAAGAAATATCTATTAGCTGTATAATCAAGGTTTATTTTTAAAAGAGAGTTACATAGTAGATATAAGTTTGGTGTTTGGGAAGCTAAAGAAGGTAAACTAGTTCTTTGTTACAGTGATATTCCTATGTAGACTAAACCTCATCTGTTTAATAACGCTAACCTCTGATAAAATCTTTTTTTATACCCTGTTTTGTTCTGAAGCATTTGCTAGTGTGAAGTAGAAAAATAAGGCAGTAGAATTGAGTAATATATTAGACTGTATGAGGTGGTCCAGTTAAAAAAAGGAATACTATTGATCTTAATATAGAAGCATGGTTACCTTTCCAGATCTTGGTATATCATGCATTATCGACACAAGGCAGGAACTAGGACTTTTCTTTAATATTATCATAAAATAAAACTTCATTGTTTATGTAAATTCAAAATTTACTCTGAGCAGATGCATTTTTCTTAAGAAAAAAACTGGCTCATTTCACTCTATTCAACTGGTTTTTAAAATTGTGGGGTTACAGATTAAGTTTTATGTATTTATAACTGGATCTGTACTAACTACAACCAGATTCCAATTCACTAGGGTGCACTGGATTCAGATACAAACTCACTCTGAAGCATATGAATTGTTTTCTATATAAAATTTACAAATCAAGGAAAATAAGGTGATAAACACATTAAAACAACAACAACAAAAAACCCAAACCCGTTGCCATCGAGTGGATTCTGACTCATAGCGACCCTATAGGAGAGAGTAGAACTGCCCCACAGGGTTTCCCAGAAGCAGCTGGTGGATTTGAACTGTTGATGTTTTGGTTAGCAGCCTGAAGTCTTAACCACTGCGCCATCAGGGCCCCGATAAAGACATAAGTAGACATTAATTAAGACACTCAAGTATTTGAATCTAGAGATACTGCACAGCCCTCAAGTTTTCAAGTCTTTGGGTGGACGTTTGGTTTAAAAATTACTTCAAAATTATAATACTGTATTTGGAAAAAAAAACATGTTTCTGTAATCTAAGATGCAGAGAATAAATATAATGGTGATTCTCAAAGACGGGTAAAACAAAAAAAACCCACGGCCACTGAATCTATTCCGACTCATACTGACCCTGTAGGACAGAGGAGTACTGCCCCATATCCTTTCCAAGGCTGTAAATCTTTATGGAACCAGACTGCCACACCCTTCTCCCGCAAAGCAACTGGTGGGCTTGAACTGCTGACCTTTCGGGTAGCAGCCGAGCGCTTTAACCACTGCGCCACCAGAAGACTAGCCCAGGGGGTGGGGTGGGTCACATAAGAATCACAGAAAGCTGTACGTACGTCTACATGGTAAGATTTTTATGTTCATCCAAAGAGAAAATGTGATTAAAAAAAAATGAAAAACCATGCTCTAGATTACAAAAGGGTAGAGAATATGGTGCACAGAAAGCCATGATGAAGACACAGAGAAATGCAGCAGATTCTGAATGTTGTTGCTGTTGAGTGTCGTGGAGTCGATTCTGACTCATAGTGACCCTACAAGACAGAGTACAACTGCCCCACAGGGTTTCCAAAGAGCAACTCATGGATTCAAACTGCAGACCTTTTGGATAGCAGCCTGAGCTCTTAACCACTTTGTCACCAGATTCTGAATAGATAACATTATTCTTATTTGACCAGAGTTCAATAACTTTTCTTTGTTAGTCTCACCTGAAAGAAATGAGGAAATAAGGAGAAAAATAAGAATAGTTTGTATGTGACTCTTTAGCACTTCATGTGTACACTTTAAATCAAGAACGATTTAAAAATAAGACTTAAAAAACCAAAAAAACACAACTGCATTTATGCTGTTATTAAAACATCCTCTGAAAAACCCAAAGATACTAAATTACACACGAGGGACACATGAGGACACGCTAACCAACCAGCCTAGCAACTGCAGTTTGGCATACAATTTTTAATTCACTTTTTAATGAAGTATGACAGCATTAAATATTTGAAATGAGAAATTACTGATGTCCTGGGATTTTGGTGTCTATCTGTGGTCACTATACATTCCTTCTGTTTGAATCAGGACCTTGCTTGAGTTTTTGATGATATGGAATTAAGTTTACTTCCGAAATATGAAGAGATTTTTCTAATAGTATTAGATTATAGAGGAATGTATTAATGTAACCATGAAAAGATACCATTTTGAAAACTATTTATATACAATTAATGTGCTAATTAAAAATCTGTCTTCTCTCTATTAATATGGCCACAAAATATTTTTGCAACACTTTCATTTACCCAGTATGTATTATTTGCACGTGCCTTAAAATTTTTTAAATTATATTTCTAGGCAAAGTCAATCTCATTTACAAATTGCTTAATAAAAACTAGAAATTCCTGTAATATAAAATGATAAATACCAGGCATTTAACTATTTGCATCAAATTTTGTTTTTTAGACAAAGGCACTGTCCATCACAATAATCAACTTTTTGCATTTATTTCAACTGGACAATCGGGATTTAAATAGGTGAGAAGGCATCTATACTTTCCTTTCCATCCATTACATTTTTGTTACAAATTTTATTTCAACCAATGCTTAAAAAAAAACTATTCAGCTTAAATGTCATCTGTAATTTTAATAGTAAATATTTGCAATTCTTTTCTAGCTCCTGTGCCAAAATTCAAGAAAATTCGACATAAATGAGTAACAATTCAACATGTATTCAACCATCCATGATCTCTTCCACGGCTTTACCAATTATTTACATCTTGCTTTGTATCGTGGGTGTCTCTGGAAACTCTCTCTCCCAATGGGTATTTTTAAAGAAGATAAGTAAGAAAACATCAACCCACATCTACCTAGTACATCTTGTGAGGGCAAACTTACTTGTGTGCAGTGCCATGCCTTTCATGAGTATCTATTTCCTGAAAGGTTTTCAATGGGCATATAAATCTGCACAATGCAGGGTGATTAATTTCCTGGGGACTCTATCCATGCATGTAAGTATGTTTGTCAGCCTCTTAATTTTATGTTGGATTGCCATAAGCCGCTATGCTACCTTAATGAAAAAGGATTCTACACAAGAGACCACTTCATGCTATGAGAAAATATTTTATGGCCATTTACTGAAAAAATTTCGCCAGCCCAATTTTGCCACAAAACTATGCTATTACATATGGGGGGCTGTACTGGGCATAATTATTCCAGTTACCATATACTACTCAGTTGTAGAGGCTACAGAAGGAGAAGAGAACCTGTGCTATAATCAGCAGATGGAACTAGGAGCCGTGATCTCTCAGACTGCAAGTCTCATTGGAACCACATTTATGATACTTTCATTTTTAGTAGTACTAATGTCATACTACTCTTTTGTCAGCCATCTGAGAAAAATAAGGACTTGTACATCCATTATAGAGAAAGATTTGATTTACAGTTCTGTGAAAAGGCATCTTTTGGTCATCCAAATTCTACTAGTAGTTTGCTTCCTTCCATATAGTATTTTTAAACTCATTTTTTATGCTCTACACCAAACAGTGGGCTGTCAACAATTGAATTATTTAATAGAAATAAAAAACTTCCTCACCTGTCTTGCTTCAGCCAGAAGTAGTACAGACCCCATTATATTTCTTTTATTAGATAAAAATTTCAAGAAGTCACTATGTAATTTCTTTACAAAATCTGATTCACCACATATACAACCATATGGTTGACTTTTGAATGGAAAACACCACAAAATAGAAAAGTGTTCATGTGACTCTATTAAGGACATTAAACTACATGATTAAGATGTCATAGCTTAGTTGATAGCATGTACTGAGAAAACTTCTTTGGTTTTAAAATATAAATAAATATGCACATTCATAAAACTCGATTTATAGTTCTACTCGCACTGAAAGTTGAGATGGCAGACTTTCAGAGCCAAAAGTCAGACCTATTCAAAGGATCCCATTGCAATGCATATGAAACCAACAGCCCATTTTCTGTTTAAGCTTAACTGTGGATACTTCAGTTCAGAACACATTTCACAACTGTAGAATACAGAAACAAGTGGTTTAGGACTCATGTGCTTTTTAGTAGTTAGAATACAAAGGCCTATCTCTGGCTAGTGTTTGTTTTGTTGGTAGAGTTTTCTGATACTTTAAAAAATGAATAAGAAATTCCCATACGTAAGTCGTTGTCTAAATGCAAGAATAATGCAATATCAAATCCAAGGTTTTATAAAAATATTGTTTGGTATTATCTGGCTCATGTTACTGGGATGGGCAATATTAATGTATTCCAATATTTCTTAAGTAGATATGACATAAATGTTTAAATATTTGGATTAGGTTCTGTCAAAATAAAAAGGCAATATAATGTCATTATATGTCGATCTTTATCACATTTTCTGTATTTCTGTATTCAATATAAATAATGTTATTAATGACAAAAAAGTACATGGCACATAGATAAATTCAATTAATTTTTGTGAAATGAATGAATGATAAGGCAGTATAATAGTATCATAGGTAAGAGAATGGTCTCTGGAGTTAAGACTCCTTGAGTTCAATCCTGATTCATCTAATTTAGCTAGACAAGCTTCCTTCCTTCCTTCCTTACTTACTCCTTTAAGTGTTAATTTCTTCATTTGTAGAAAAGAAAAATACTAATTCGTCGGTACTGTTATTAAATCACATGATGTACTATTATGAGTAACTATCATTTACTAAATAATATAATCACTATGTGCCAGGCACTTTTCTATATGCTTTACATATATTGTTTTAATCATCTCAACTCCATAGTATGCCCATTTACTGATGAGAAAACTGAAGTGCATAGAGTTAAGTATGTCATCCAAAGTTTCTCCAATATCTAAGTAAATATTTAAAAAGTAAGCATTTATTAATGGTCATTTCTTTCTTACATGTAAACCTGTCAGTAAGACAAATGATTTTGACTATATTCTATATTATATACTTTACCATTTTTTTTAAAAAATGCGTGCTCTATCTTCCCAAAGAGATCATAAACACCTTTGAAGCTATGGTCTATTTTCTATTTCTACTCTCCCTGATACTTGCATTCTCTTCTCAGAAAAGAATCAAACAAAACCAGTTTAATCAAATCAACCATTAACTAAAACACACCACTTTGTTAGAGACTACTTAAAGACTTGTTTATTCTTCACATGGTGATTCTTTTAGTGCTCAAAAAGAAGTTTATATTCACATAGCACTTCCAAGCCTTTAATCTCAAAGCATGTTTTATTCCTGAATTAGAAATGTAGAAGCAATTCACTGTACAGTTTCCCCAAGAGCCATTTGTTCAAAATCACTAGAGGTCATTTCAGCACATCTGTATAATTTTCATTAAAAAAGAACAGAAAAACAGTAAATAATTTTTCTCCTTTTTTACTTCAATGCTTAACTGAAAGAAGAAAATGGTCAGAGAAAAGTCTGAAAAAACAAACTCTGGCCTCAAATATTTACAGTGCACATCTATTCTTTTATAGTAGCAAACCAATTTCTAGCTGATTAATTTGCAGAGATAAAGGTAGACCTGGGAACTCCAGGTGACCTCCCTAATTATAAACAAAGGTATCCAATCTAGTAACTTCATGGACATGCCAATCACAGAGTAACTCCAAGTCGATCAAGAGTTCCTGAGCTTTCCAGTTTTCTCTATAGTTATACCAGTAATTTTATTCTTACATGAGTTTTAAACTTAAACTAAGAAGAACTGAGAAGATGGTCAATAATTTTCATTTACCATAAACTATACTATATTGAATCTCACTGCAGTTGGGAGTTTTTGCTTTAAATATAACTTCTACAAATCATTATGTAAAAAATCATTTTTCATCTCTGCTACTTTAAATAAAAGGCTAAAGATATTATTGAAGTAGAGTTTTCTACATTTAAAAAAAGCAGGAAAAAAAAAGGAATGCAGTTCTCTTTAAGTTACTCATTCTGATAGAGAACTCCCAATTTAATTCCCTGTACTGAATTATATACTGAGCTTACTCTCATCATATTTATCTTTACACCATAGATGCTTTCCTGAATGGGTGATCACTTGTCTACTATCTAGTTAGTGATCTCCCCTCCCCACCATCCCCTCCCTCATAACCATCAAAGATTGTTTTTTTCAGTGTGTAAACCTTTTCTCGAGTTTTTATAACAGCAGTCTCATACGATATTTGTCCTTTTGTGATTGACTTGTTTCACTCAGCATAATCCCCTCGATTCATCCATGCTGTGAGATGTTTTGTGGATTCATCATTGTTCTTTATCGTTGTGCAGTATTTCATTGTGTATATGTGCCATAATTTGTTTATCCATTCATCTGTTGATGGGAACTTAGGTTGTTTCCATCTTTTTGCTACTATGAATCTTTTTGCTGTAATGAACATGGCTGTGCATATGTCTATTCGTGTGAAGGCTCTTAGTTCTCTAGAATATATTCCTAATAGTGGGATTGCTGGATCATACAGTATTTCTAGTTTTTTAAGGAGGCGCCATATTGTTTTCCAAAGTGGTTGTACCATTTTACACTCCCACCAACGATGCATAGGAGTTCCAATCTCCCCTCAACCTCGCCAACATTTGTTATTTTATTTTATTTTTTTTAAATTAGTGCCAGCAGTGGCGGGGTGAGATGGTATCTCATTGTAGTTTTGATTTGCATTTCTCTAATGGCTAATGATCGTGAGCATTTCCTCATGTGTCTGTTAGCTGCCTGAATGTCTCTGAATGTCTTTGGTGAAGTGTCTGTTTATATCATTTGCCCATTTTTAATTGGATTATTTGTCTTTTTGTTGTTGAGGTGTTGAAGTATTCTATAGATTTCAGAGATTAGACCCTTGTTGGATATGTTGTAGCCAAAATTTTTTCCCCGTCTGTAGGTTTTCTTTTTATTCTTTTGGTGAAGTCTTTTGATGAGCATAAGTGTTTAATTTTTAGGAGCTCCCAGTTATCTATTTTATCTTCTTGTATTTGTGCATTGTTAATTATGGTTTGTATTCTATTTGTGCCATGTAATAGGGCCCCTAGTGTCATCCCTATTTTTTCTTCCATGATCTTTATGTTTTAGGTTTTATATTTAGGTCTTTGACCCATTTTGAGTTAGTTTGTGTGTATGGTATGAGGTACGGGTCCTGTTTCATTTTTTTTACAGATGGGTATCCAGTTATGCCAGTACCATTTGTTTAAAAGACTGTCTTTTCCCCCATTTAATGGACTTTGTTCCTTTGTCAAAGATCAACTGGCCATAGGTGGATGAATTTACTTCTGGGTTCTTGATTCTGTTCCATTGGTCTATGTGTCTGTTGTTGTACCAGTGCCAGGCTGTTTTGATTACTGTGGCTATAAAGTAGGTTCTGAGACCAGGTAGTGTGAGGCTTCCTACTTTGTTCTTTTTTTTTCAATAATGCTTTGTTTATCAGGGGGCCTCTTTCTTTTCCATATAAAGTTGGTGATTAGTTTTTCCATCTTGTTAAAGAATGCTGCTGGTATTTGGATTGGGATTGCATTCTATCTGCAGATCGCTTTGAGTGGAATTGACATTTTCATAATGTTAACTGTTCCTATCCATGAGCATGGTATGTTTTCCCATTTACATAGGTCTTTTTTGGTTTCTTGCAGTAGCGTTTTGTAGTTTTCTTTGTATAGATCTTTTACAACCCTGGTTAGATTTATTCCTAAGTATTTTATCTTTTTAGAGGCTATTACAAATGGTACTGTTTTCCTGATTACTTTTTCCAAGTTCTCTTTGTTGATGTTTAAGAATCCAACTGATTTTTTTTGGATCTTGTATCCTGCTACTCTGCCAAATCTTTCCATTAGTTGCAGTATTTTCTTGTGGAATCTTTGGGGTTGTCTATGTATAGGATCATATCATCTGCAAATAGCGATAGTTTCGGATGCCCTTTATTTCTTTTTTTTGCCTTACTTCTCTAGCTAGGACTTCCAGTGCAATGTTAAATAGGAGTGGTGATAAAGGGCATCTTTGAGACATGACAAATCCTGACCCATCCTATTATGATTTGGTAAGGTCTCCCTCTGCCTATCCCTGGCCTTGCAGTCTGCCAGGGTGGGGGAAATAAGCATATGTAGGAAGACAAGCTGAAAGGAAATCTTGCTGGCAAACCACAAAGGGAGCACAGAGGGAATACTGGTAATTTGCTATGCATTTCATTGGTGCAGCCTAATGCCATGCACTTTCCTCTGAGTGCCCCCAAGTTCAAACTGACAGGAGAGAATTTGGAAGAGCTACTACAGCTAGAAACGTTTTACTACAGCTAGAAACGTTTTACACCTGATAGAAAAAAACTCTTTGGCTATATCATACACACTACACCTGGCTAAGAAGGAGAGGCGTAGTGAAAGGGTTCACATCTAATAAGCAAAAGAAACTAATTTCTTTTTAAATCAAGGAGCAAATTTTTTTTTGGGGGGGGAGTCTTTTTTCTGCAGGGCTTTTTTTGGAGGGGGTGTGGTGGGAGAAGAGAGGCATAGGAGTTAGAAATGCAAGATGAATTTACGATGCTCTTATAATCAGATTTTTCTAAGTACAATTATTATTAAAACCCCACATTCAAATTGAATATGCACTCTATGTTGGACAACCTTACAAACGTAATGCAGAAGACTGACCAATGTGTTTCTAATAAAAAAAGAATAAAATAATCAAGGTTTCATTTTAATGAAAACTTAAATTTCTTTATACAACAGCAGGGACTTTTGAGAGTTGTGGAAACAGATGTAAAAGACATAAAAGGAACATCAGAAATCAAGAGCAATAGAGGAAGAAATACTGTAAGAAACCCACAAAGCCAAGGCACCTAGGGTTATGCGATAAATACCCATTTTTGATAAAGTCTGGCCCTAA